ACCCACTTTTGCCCAGCCCTGTAAATAAGAAGCAAATTAAGCTACTTAGGTTTTTAAATTTCTCCAAAGTATATAGGAATACCAAAAACAGGTAAAAAAAATTAGAATTGTATAAAACCTAATTCAGGCAATTAAGAACATTAAATATAGTTGTTTTGAATAGACATCCTGGAGATTTTATCATCTGACCATTGAAGATTATCCATACTTAAATATGATAAATCACTTTAGTATAGTTTGAACATAGTGATTATAACAATTCAGGTAATTTTTACATTTGCTAGAGAGTTCATGTTCAACTCTTGTTTTACAATGAAACATTTAAGTGTCAAATTTCAGCTACAATCAGTTTATCTGAATCTTGCCTAATTTCTATTTTATGGAGTTTTGTAGTAAAAACTAGAGTAGGAGTCAGCAAACTATAACCCACAGGCCAAATATGGCTTGTCGCCTATTTTTGTGAATAAAGTTTTATTGGAACACATCTGCACTCATTCATTTTTGTACTGTCTATTGGTGCTTTGGCATTGTAATGGCAGAATTGAATAGTTGCAACAGAGATCATCCTATATAATAAAAGCATAATATGCTAAGTGTCTGGTTGTCCGGTTGTCCATTCAACCAAAGTGTAATATGCTAATGATATGCTAAGGCCGCTCAACCGCTCGCTATGACGTGTACTGACCACCAGGGGGCAGACGGTAGGTTAGCTTGCTGCTGGGGTCCGGCTGATCGGGACTGAGCAAGATGGGCCGGACATGCTCTGGAGCCCTCCTGCGGTCCATCTCTGGCTGGCCAACCTCCCATGTCCCTCCCCGGCCCTGATTGTGCACTGGTGGGTTCCTTTGACCTGGCCTGTGCCCTCTTGCAATTTGGGACCCCTTGGGGGATGTTGGAGAGCTGGTTTCGGCCCAATCCCACAGGCCAGGCCAAGGGACCCCACTGGTGCACATATTCATGCACCAGGCCTCTAGTAGGCCCATAAGATGTAGAATATTTACTCTCTAGCCCTTTACAGAAAATAAAGCTTGCCTGTCCCTGAACTAGACTACAAAATTCTATCATTAATTGCAGTTTGACATATCTTAACACACACAGCAATTTTTATTTGGATTGTATTTGCTGTATAGTGATTTAACTTGTAGCTGCTAGTTTTTAATTATCTATACTAATAAAAGGGTAATATGCTAATTAGACCGGGAGACCTTCTAGGAGACCTTCTGGACAAAGCCATGGTGGTGGGGCCGAGGCAGAGGCGGTTAAGGGTGATCAGGAGGGGAGGGCAGTTGGGGGTGATCAGGCTGGTGGGGGGAGGAGCAATTGGGGGCGAGAAGGCTGGCAGGCAGAGAGGTTAGGGGCAATCAGGCAGGCAGGCGGGTGAGCAGTTAGGAGCTAGTGGTCCCAGATTGTGAGAGGGATGTCCGATTGCTGGTTTAGGCCTGATCCTACAGGGCATCCCCCGAGGGGTCCCAGATTGGAGAGGGTGCAGGCCAGGCTGAGGGACACCCCCCCCCACCCCTGTGCATGAATTTCGTGCACCAGGCCACTAGTATAAAATAGGTGGAATGAATTTAAACTTGGATTATGATATTTGAGGGAAGGTTATTTTTAGGATGCAAATCCTTAAAATTAAAGAAAAATCAAAATGTTACAAATTATGTAATTTGTAGAAATCTCAGAGCTTTAGAAGCACCCGGAGAGCTTTTCTTGAAAATTACAGGCACCTGGGCCCTCCTCCCAGAGATTTTGTTTCATTTAGTTTGTGGGACTCAGGTTTTGATATTTTGAAAGTATTGCAGGTCATTCTAAAGTCAGCAAGGTTGGGACCACTGGTTTTGTCCCATCCACCCATGTTAATAAATGAGGCAACTAGGGTTGGGAGTGGTTGTGGTGCATTGAAACACATGCAGCCATTCAGTGGGGTTGCTAGGTAAGAACCCAGTGCACTTGACTTTCCAGCTAATTACTTCCCTGTTAATTACTCCCCTGTATCATTCTGCATTCTCAAACCAAGCTAGGGGTTGGCAGACTTTTCTGTCATAAAAGGCTAGATAGTAAATATTTTAGGCTTTGTGGACCATACGACCCCACTATTCCTTTGTTCAAAACAGAATTTTCATTTCTTATGATTTCTGGTTTCTTCACCAAAGTTAGTCATTTTTTAAGGGAGGGGATAGTGGTTTGAGGGAAACTATACATATAATTTGGAAGTATTGCCACGTTGTAGTCAAAGACTCTACTAGTTTGCTAATGAAAATGGCATCTTAGGCCCTTAGGGGTCAGTCTCTCTTAAGAGAAAATTAAGGATCTAGTTGTTTCCAGAATCCTTAGTGAAAAAGCCAGTTTAGATTTTTTTTGTTCGTTTTTGCCAGGATGAAAAGGCAGGTTTTTTTTATTTGTTTGTTTTATTTTTTTTTTGTTTTTTTGTTCACAGTCTTAAGTTGAACAGACCTTTTCAGTATAAAAGCTGAGTCCGTCTGTTTCTTCATAATCTTATAGTAAAAAAATAAGTTAAAAAATTTTATGTAGAAGATAGGAGAAACTGTATAACATTCAAGATTTGATCATGAATTGACTTTAGTTCAGTATTTAGGAAATATAAGTAAAATGCATTAGATATTTGATTTAGTTATTAAAAATTAAGCTTGCTCTTAATGATTTTAGTCAGGGTCTCCACTCTGAGTAAAATTTAGCTTTTTTGAAATTGTCTTTGTATTTCTGATCCCACTAGTCCTATTAATTTGAATTTGATTGGGAGATATGGGAATAGTCAACTGAATACTCCACTTGGAGACTAAGTGGTGGTGGTAGCATTGGACCATTTTTGACACTGTTGGTTTGCCAGTTTCCCTCTGACCTTTTTCCAGTTATATTCATGGACTATGTCAAAAAGGTTTCTTTCATGAGTAAATTTTGAACCCAGGTTCAAGGTGAGTTCAGAATATACACAAATTCATTCAATCCTTTTTTTTCAAATGCGGGGTTGTACATATTTTAATAATTTTCTTATGTATCTGGTATTTAATGCTGACAGGATTCCAGTCAATGGAGAGGTTTCATTGCAAGTAGCTGCAGGTGTGTTTCATGGTAGAGATAAAAGTTTTTAGTGAAGCAGACTTTTTCTTTTAAAACAATTTATATCCTTAGTAAATAATGAATATAGATTTTGCTTTTGTGGGGCAATATGGTATGCTTTTTGTGTGTTATGTTATTACTGCTAAATCATAATATTGAGTTGTAAAGGCAAAAAAAAAAAAAAATCAGATACCAAATCTTAAAAAAGTGAAAATATTAAGGGTTGTGAAGATGGGTACTTAATGTTTATTCTTAAATGGCTTAGTTTTTATGGAGTGACTAAACTTTTAAAGCATCACAATTAGATGTATTTGTAGCACCATTGTTTCATTTAAAAATATTAATTCTCTAATGTATTTTTATTTGGTACTGTTGTTAAATAGTCCTTCCCTCAAAACCAGACTAATGACTAGTTTTTGCATTAATTCTGCGCTTTATCGTTTGAGCATTTACTCTTTACTAGGAATTATGCCTTCAGGGATTATATAGTGTAGAAGCAGTTGGTAGTGAAGAAATATATGTATACAGGTTTCAATTTAAGATGAGTGGGTTTAAAAAATTTTTAGAAAATTTTTGATGTCATTTAGTCTGGAAATAAGATTACATGGTAGAATCTACTACCTTACTTGTTATATAAATACTTAGGATTAAGTTTGTTAAATTTCTCATCATTTTTGGTCCATAACAGTAAAGGCTATTTCTCTGGAAAATTCTTATCAACAGAAAAATATAGTATATACATTATTTATTTTGCCTTTTCAGCAGGCTATAGTCAGCAGACTGGACCCCAGCAACCTCAGCAGTTCCAGGGATATGGCCAGCAAGCAACTTCCCAGGCACAAGCTGCTGCCTTTTCTGGTCAGCCTCAACAACTGCCTGCTCAACAGCCACAGCAGTACCAGGCGAGCAATTACCCTCCACATACTTACGCTACCCAGACTTCTCAGCCTACTAGTTATACTGTGGCCCCTGCCTCACAACCTGGAATGGCTCCAAGCCAAGCCGGGGCCTATCAACCAAGACCAGGTTTTACTCAGTCTGCAAGTACCATAACCCCTCCTCCAAGTGGGCCTAACCCTTATGCACGTAACCGTCCTCCCTTTGGTCAGGGCTATACTCAACCTGGACCCGGTTATCGATAAAGCAGCTCAGTTACATTGATGAAGTGTAGCTGGTAGCTGTTTGCCTCCCAAAAGACTCCAATACTATTATTTTATTTTAATTTGTATTGAAGTTCAGAAATTTAAAAAGCAGAGCATTTTTTATGATATCATTGTTGCTGTTAATTGAGAGTATAACTTGCTAGAACACAAAAAAAAGACCAAAATGAAAGTTTTTTCCTCCCCTGCTTAAAAGTGTAGCAGCTTCCTAGTAATTTTGGAACACTACTCTTATGTGTGTAAAGTGATTGACTTTCTAGCTTGCCTTGTCCAGAGGTTATTAAAATGCTAGGTTGAAATTTAGCCATCTTGTTTGGCTTTGTACTATTAACATGATGTACTAAAAATAGATCTCTTTGAAAAGACAACTAGATATTATGTATAAAATGTAACATTGATAGGTTAATAAAGATGATTGAATAAATTAACGGTCTTGTTTAATTTAATCACTAAAATTATATATTCATGAGAAAAAGGTGAGAAACAAATCCTTACTAATGTTTTGTAAATAAAGTATAGGTGGTTTAACTTAGAACAGTTTCTATTCAGAGAAACTGATTTTTGTCCTGACTTGAAAGAAATGCATTTAACAACTATTGGCTTAAAACGGTGAAACTTTAAAATTGATGTCACAGGAAGATAGATCAGCATAATACAGAAACACAACAGATACAGTATTATAAGATACAAGGGGATTTTGGTAGATCCTGAATAAATGTAATTTTCCTTATAGAGATGAACCATTCAAAAATAAAGAACTCAGCCTTAAAAAAAACACTATATCTCTTTATTGCAGTTTCTACTTGTTTGAAAAGTACAGAATGTAGCATTGATAAAATTGAAGCATGTTGAAAGGATCCTCTCAGAATGAGGGCAACAATGCAGCATTCCCACCTCCCTCTCCAAATGAGGAAAATACCTTTTTAAATAAAAATGAGTCTGAGTCAGTACAGGTTAAGTTAGACTGAAAACATCTTCTGATACATTCATTCCTAGAAGTCTTATGTGTAAAAATGTAGTAAGTATCCTGTAAAATGGCAGCGATCTCATCATATGTTATCTTTTTGAGCTCAGACTTCACATTCATTTTCTTCATACAACTTGTTTAGAATTATATTAAAAACAGTACAAAGACAGTTGCTTGAAAGAATAGTTTGACAAAGTATATTCAGATATTGTAATATATAATTGAGTATAGTAAGAAAAAATGTGTATTTTTGAAACAGTATGTCATTCTCAATTCTATTTTTAGCTGAAATGAAATTTACTTTTTAATAATTTAAAAATATTTGAGGCAATGTATATTCACATAAATGTTTATTTAAACATTCAGAAAAGATATTCAATTATTGCTAAAAAACTGAAGTTTAAATAAACATGTGAATTTTACCCCCAGATATATATGCTAAAGTTAATCTGATCTAATAAGTTAAACCAAAGAGAGATTTATGGAATTAACTCACCAGTAGGAAGAATACACATTAATAAAAGTAAACATTTTTTAAAAAGTATATTAGTTTTTGATGTTAATTTTGTTATAAAAGTATCTCAAAACATTACAACATTGTGATAAATAATATACAAAAAATCTCTTAAAATACCATGAATAGGGAGCCAGCTTCCCCAGAAAAATGTTACTCTGTTAATATCTTGCTTTATTAAAATGATTTTTTAAAACCTGATAAATATTCTCAGCAATTTTTCTAATAAAAACATCTAATACTGCTATCAATTAGATTTTAAACTTTTATACATAGTAAACAGAACAGCTTTAAATGAATGTGACAAATACCATAGTGTTTGCAATTATTTTTTGCCACGATGAAACAAGGCACTTGTGAACACGATTGCAGCATCTACCATTTTCCAGGAATTGTGGTCCCACATTCATACCACTGAACGTAATTGATTTGGGTGTGACCACCGATTTCTCCAAATTGGACAGGTTCCTGGCGAACTGCTCTGAAAAAGCCTATAAGGGAAAAGTACATTTTAATAATTGCAACGTTATATATTTTCCTTCATTGCTCATAGATTGAATGGCTGAATGTTACTCTAGGTGAAGTGAAGTATTTTAGAAATGGACATTTAGAAATGGTATCTTTCCTGAGGTAGAAACTGGGGCTAAACATCAGGGGCATCTGTAGCTCCTTAACAAAGCATGGGACTATTGGTAGTGTCTAGGAAACAAAGCTGGAAAGGAGCAGGAGTCAGAAGGGTTGTGTGTTTCTGAGTGTCATTGAGCACATCTACACTCTGTCTTATGGGAAAGTGTACTTTCTGCACATTAGAGACTCATGGTGGTCTGTGAAGAACTGACCAGAGTAATGGTGCTATATTTATTTACCACTGTGTTAAGAAACAAAAGAAAGGTAATATCAAGCTTGCTAAATTTCTAAGAATTAAACTTAGGTGGAATCTTCAATGACCTTATACTAAATGATTAAAAATTTCGAAATTTCTCTGTGAATGTAAAATATAGAAATATACACAATTTATAGTATGTTTATATCCAATTCCTATGAGATACCAGTTTCAACTTCTGGTTCATGGGTTCACAGATCCTATTAAGGTATCTTTTCTATGATGCCAGTGAACAAAATGTGTTGCTGAAAAGACTAGTCAAATGATTTAAAGTATCTAACAAAGTTCTTGGTGATTCCCAAGTAATATGGACATTTAATTTACACTCTCCTGCCTTGCTTGGACAACAAGTAAATTAATTTTCATCTTTTTAATCCTCATTAAGCAGCTTAGTGCTAAAATGTCTTCAGCATTACCTTGGTTATTCATTTTTTAACATAATTGTTCTATTTTAACTGAACTTATATAATGAAAGCAGATACTAGTACTGTTTTTCCATTTGTAGTAGTCTGTCTTTAAAATTTTTTTAAGGGAGTAAAAAAATGCCTATGTGCTCAGTATTGACAAAAAACATAAAGGTAATATATGAGTGATTTAAGTTTAGGAAACATTGCTCTTTTATTCCGGTTTCCTTGAAGTAGAACGCATTTATATATGTTTGTGTGTAGCTTTCCTTGGCCCTAAGGAATAGAGTCTTAGGGGCTGGGAGGAAAGTTGAGAAACTTTCATTAAAGTCTTTATACTAAGTAAGGTCTTTTAAAATTTTTTTCTTTCTAGCTAGATAATTATAACAGTTCTAGCATAGAATTATTTTTAAAGTGATTGCTTCCCTCAGCTTGGATTCTTTTTGGGTCAATTTATAAAACTGTCTTGCTTTTGAGGAGGCTCAGAAAACATACCTTCTTTTGTGGGTAACTGCTCAGAAGTCAGTTGCTGTCCTGTGCGTCCATCTAAAAACGAGTCCACAAATTGGCAGTGATCTTCTCCATGGCCTCTCTGATCGCCTATGTTATAAAATTTTCCTGAAGAACCAAAAATTAAAAGGATCATAAAATGTTACTTTCTTTGATATGAGACTATATATATATATATAAAAAAGCCTAAGCAACTGGACGATTGGCCGGTATGACACGCACTGACCACCAGGGGGCAGATGCTCAACGCGGGAGCTGCCCCCTGGTGTTCAGTGCACTCCCACAGTGGGAGCGCCAGAGCCAGGCTCATGGCTGGCAAGTGCAGCTGCGGTGGCATGAGCCTCTCCCGTCTCCCTGGCAGCTCGCTACCGAGCTGTGGTGGTAGGCGCAGTGGGGCCAGGATGAGTGGGAGCTGCGCAGCACCGCAGCACCCAGCCCGGGCTCCTCCCTTGCTGCCTGGCCTGTGAGGATAGGGCCAAAACGGGCAGTCTGACATCCCCCGAGGGGTCCTGGATTGCAAGAGGGCACAGGCCAGGCGGAGGGACCTCACCGGTCCACGGATGCACCAGGCCTCTAGTTCTGAAATAATCACATTGTTCCAAATAATCATTCTTTCCTGATCTTGTACTTTTGCCCTAGTTCAAGCCATCAGCGCCCTTTGACTGAACTATGAAATGGTCTCCCAGCTGACATTCCTGTTTTTCATTTTGCCTCTCTATTCTTCCTCCCTTCCTCTCATATCCTACATGTTTTAAAAATGCTACTCAGGTAATGTTACTCCCATAAATCTCTCCAGCAAACTCCTGTTGTACTCAGAAGAAAACCCAAAGTCTCACATGATTTCACACCTGCCTGCCTTGTCTTCCTCTTACTAAGCCTCAGCCACACCAGTGGAACTGGCTATGCAATGTTGTGCCACAGGCCTTTGAGTTTCTCTTCCCTCCATCTTTGCTTTCCCCTAGATCTTTGCTTGGTTGGTGCCTTCTCATAGTTTTCTTCCTGGCACAGTGTTATCTTTTCAGAGAGGCTTTTCCTAGTACTTCTAATTAAAGGAGCTTCCATTCAGCCGTTTTGTTCCACTCTTTAAGTTTTTTTTCAAAGCACTACAACTAGATTGTAAGCTACAAGAAGGCTTGCTTGTGTCTTGTTTGCTGTTTTGTCCTTAACACCTAGAACAATGTCTGAATAAAGCAGATACTATTGAGTAATTGAACAAATGCCTACCTTTCTAAGCCTTATTTGTTTAAAATTTTTATTGTAGGAGTATAGAAGTGAAAATAAGCTGCTGGATCTGGAGCAAGAGGTTACATAGCCTTTCCAGCCAGTTGTTGTAATCTTGATCTTGTCGTTAACAGACTTAAAATTTTGATTGTCATATTCCTCCCATGAGTACTGTTAGATACACCCATTTCATTATCAGTAAGGTTTTTATCCTTGGTTGGCTGTAACAAAATTGAGTTTGAATGTGGCTAGTGTCTTTACATTCAAGTTTGCCATGATAGCACTGTTCAAATTGCATTTTCATTGTTTACCTTCTAATAGCATGTCTTAAATCCTTGTTTTCTAGGCTATTTCTTGTTCAAAAAGAATATTTGTATTTACATCATACTTTAGTTTCTGTCCAAAGTAAAGACCAAGTTTTACAGAATGCTGCAAAGCATTCCCTGATAGACAAGACTCAAAACAGCAGGTAGTCTTGCTTACCTGTGAGGGAGTCGCTCAGATAAATCTTGTATCTAAGAGAGTTGCATAGCTGTACCCCTACAAACTTTTTATACCAAGTCCTTTTGACATACTGTTTGCCTTTACATTCTGAGTAAGAGTCTGAATCAAAGGGTCTTTCTGTCCAGATGGCATCTCTTCCTCCTGCATAAGGAAAACATAAGATTTGAGTTTAGTATCTGATTTTGGTGCTGAAGAGCTGTCCTAAAAGCTTTAAAAAACAAACAAACAAACAAACAAAAAACAGTTTGCAAAGTTCACTGTCAACTTGCTGACAGCTGGTTTTCTCCAATGCTAAATATTGGAGCCAAAAATATTATAGGAGTTAAACACATAAGGCCCCACTTAAGTTCCTGTTAATAGTGATAAAGTTGTAGAGGTGTATTTTTAGGTGTTGAATAGCCTTTGCAGTGCTAGATGTAGACAGCATCCTGAGAGAATTCAGGTTTTGTTTTGTGTTGCAGCATATACAATTTAAACAGCTGCTCTAATGTGACTTGTTATTAAAAGTGGAAATGAGGGTATTATATCTTGACAGTTATTATACAGAAAATTTGGTACATGAATGAAAGCAAGCTTCAAAATATCGAACTTGTTCCCAAAACATCAGACTCTTGATGAAACTGAGTGTTCTGGATACTCATTCACACCTGATTGATATCACGACTTACATTCTGCCATGTCTGTGTAGTTGAATCAGTTTAGAAAAGCATGTAGTTAAGTTCACATCAAGACAGGTACTTACCAGAAACTGGCTCGCTCACTCTCGGATCCGCTGAGGAGAAATAGCAACAGTCAGAAGTTATTAAGTAAGTAGGTCTCAGTGTTCCAGTGGTACAGTGAAGAAGATGGGTGCTTACAGTAAAGAAATTTTACCCACAAAATAGTTTACTCTTTCTAAAATGGAATTGGAAAGTATGTGGGTGTTGTTTTGGAAATGGTTCTCAATTGGAAATCTTCTGCCAGATAGTCAGCTGTATCTTTTATTTGTGATTTGAGTAGTTAGACATCTTCATTGCTGTTCTAGCTTTCACTTCCGTTTTAAAAGCTTCCTGATAGTTTCATACAAAAATTACTGATGATAAATCACCAACGTGCCATGAACTGCAGTTGGTGTAAAATTATACAAATGATGCTGTGAGTATATATTTATCTCATTAGGGAATTGGAGCTTAGAAGCTCACAAAAGAGAATTTCACAGCTACTTATCAGAAAACAAACGTATCAAATGAGTTTCCTTTCTAGATGTATGGCTCAGCATGTCTGATATTTTGATTCTAGGCATTGTTGCTGGCATACAGAAGACCATTAGTTCACTAGATTTTTGAGTATAGATTAAACACTTTTCTTTTAAACTGATATACCTAATTTTTTTCTTACATCAAAATATATGAGGGAAAACATAAGTGGTCTTTCCTTATGGGCATCTTCCACAATTGGTTTTGTCCCATAGATGATTTTTGGAAATTCAAGAAACTATACATAATGTTTGGCTGGGTTTCAAACAAGTTCCCTATTGCAAAACATTGTAGCCCTTTACATCCTTGTTGGGAATTGCTGTTGATGTGATTACCTGATTCAGTACTGAATGCCACTGTGGTGCTGGGTGGGCCTTCTCCAAGTGGGTTTTTTGGTTTCACCTGGAATTCATAGCTGTGTAGGGGGGAAATGAAAATAAAATTGTAATATATTCTTCAGGGGGAGACAACATTCCCTTGTATACTAACATCCTTCCTGAACCTGTTTTGAATGGACATATGTTCTAGAAGCACAAGGAAAGGAAAACAAAATATTGAATCTTAACTTTCTAAACAGCTTGTGTAATGCTTTGTATAAGAACAGGGTTAAGTTAATAAAATAGTTTTCTGTTTAAAAAAGTCCAAATTAGTAGAAATAACTGGGCAAGTTGGTAATGGATATATAGGAAAGAGGTATGTGGTGGACCCAGGCCAATTCCAGCAACAAGGACCCTCGGTTTTCTCTAGATGTTTCAACTACTTCCTGGGGGAAAGAAATAGGGAGAGCCCTTTTTATTCCTTTTAGCCCAACCCTCAAAGCCTTAGACTTAGGCAGTGTTTCTCTTTGTGGGGTTTGCACTACCTATGTTGGAATTGCATAGCAGCAGCTGTGGGGAAAGTTTGTTTTAAATGCAGACTTGTTGCTCCATCCTATCGAATCAAATTTTTGAGAGGGTCCAGGTAGGAATTTATAACAAGTTCCTGAGCTGAATCCTGCTTCCATTGACATTTGGAAACTATTAGACTAAGCTATGGGAAACAAATGCACATGAAAAATGTCTTTACAAGGACTTCCTGGTTGTGTTCCCTGGAACTCAGGTCTTCTGTGGACCACAGGAAGCCACATCATCTCCAGAATAGGGACACGGAAGTGTCACCTCTTGAAGAGCATAGGCACAAAGGCAGACTTCTCTCGTCTCTGCAAATCAGATTCACATGGGCTAGGCTCTTAGCTTTTATGTTAAAAACCAAAACAGGCCTGGCGGATGGCTCAGTTGGAACATCAGCCCATACACCAAAACAGATTGCAGGTTCAATCTCTGGTCAGGGTGCATATGGGAGGCAACAGAAGGATCTTTTTCTTTCTCTCCCTCTCCTTGCCTCTCTCTAAAATTAGTAAAGAGGCAACAGAAGGATCTTTTTCTTTCTCTCCCTCTCCCTCTCCTTGCCTCTCTCTAAAATTAGTAAGTAAATCCTCTCATGAGGATAAAAAAACACCCAAATAAACCCATATCTTTTTGGAGTTATATATTTGATTATATCCTTAAGAAGTACTAAATCCTCTCATGAGGATAAAAAAACACCCAAATAAAACCAGTTTGATTATATCCTTAAGAAGTATGCATTAAATTGCTATGCAATAACTGAGAAATGTAATTCATAGAATACTTAAGCAGAGCACATCCTTTTAAGAAATTCAAATAGTAAAGCTAGTTTCCATTTGCCTAAAACTAGGAGTTTTGGATGCAGAAAGTATTTGGATGCAAAATTAATTTGAGTCAGCTGATAGTATGGTGAGTCTCAAATTTGTATAGGCTTTTGGAAGATAATTCCCATTTTTTGAGAAGTCTGTAATTGAATAAGAATGCAGAACAAACAAAAGGAAGATATTTTACAAATAAGTGAAAAACAGAAGGATGACAGCATTAACACACACTGCTGGAATCCTTAAGACAGATTCTAGCATTACAACAATGGCAGCCCCTTTAGGGGTGCTTACTATATACCAGACACATTAATCATTCTGTGTATATAAAGTAACACACAAACCCCAAGAGATCAATGTTATCCCATTTTTTCAGTTAAGAATGTTGAGGCTCTTAACCATTGTGCTGTCTGCTTTTACAACCTTTGTGAAATGAAGATTAAAATTTACAGGGTTGCCCTAGCTGGTTTTGCTCAGGTGATAGAGCATCGGCCTGCGGACTGAAGAGTCCTGGGTTTGATTCTGGTTGGCACATGCCCTGGTTGTGGGCTTGATCTCCAGTAGAGGGCGTGCAGCAGGCTGCCGATCAATGATTCTCTCTCATTATTGATGTTTCTCTCACTGTCCCTTCCTTTCAGAAATAAATAATAATATGTAAAAAAAAAAGTACTGGGTTTTTACTGAGACTGCACATCAACGCATTTTGTAACCTAATCAACTGATATAAGATGCCATTTATCATTTGCAATAAGAGAATGCCGACATGAAACCACATGTCACTCATTTAAATAAATTGCACATACATAGGGAGTTTTGGCATGGACTATTTTCTAGAGATGAGATTCTTGCTCAGAAGCCTGATGACCTTAAAACAAAAACAAACCAGTATGATGAACTGATAATGGAAAAAAGAAACCACAGGCATCTGGACTTTGATTCAAGTGGGCAATGCATCCCACATTCCAGGCCACTGCCAATAGCCCTGTGCTTTGGCTAACTCTGATTGCTGGAACCATCTCCTTGTCTTTTTATCTTGCAGTTATTTATACTTCAGCTCTATTTGTAGTGTGGCCACAAATACTCCTAAGGACTTTGTTTTTTTGCCAACATTTTGTGATACTTGACAAGTTTTGAAGAAATCATTTTAAACTAAATTTAACAGCATGGGGACTAAAAGGTACATATTTTTGGCAGATTAAACCCTATATAAAGAGAAAATATTGAAGTGGCAAAGTTTTTCCCCAAGAAGCACATTATATCACAAGATCTATGACATTGTAGGTCAATATTGATTATACATAGGAAATAAGCATGGGATGCTATATTAAAGAGTTATAAGCACAACAAAGCTATTTAAATAATACTTTGAAGATTTGGAAGATCAAGTTAAGGAAGTTTTACAAATACATGAACAAAAAGAAATGAAAAGTGAGAGAAAATAAGAAAATAGGATTATTTCAGGGAGTACAATACCTAAATAGTGGGTTCTAGAAGAGATAGGGGAAAGGGAGAGTAGGAAATTATCCTGGAAATTATGTAATTTCTCAGAACTGAAAGACATGGGTTTGCAGATTACAAAGGCCCAATGTACACCCAGAAAAATGAAAAAAGAAAAAAAAACCTCCAAAGCACAAATGTTCCAAAATTTCAGAGTATAGGGGTAAATAAATGATTTTAAGTTTCTGGAAGTTAGAAAACAATGGAACAATGTCTTTAAAAATCTTCATTGTATCCTAAACTCCATGTCTAGCTAAATGATAGTATTAGAGTGAAACAAGGATATTTTCAGATATGCAAAGACTAAAAAAAAAAAAAACCTCCAAAGCACAAATGTTCCAAAATTTCACAGTATGGGGGTAAAGAAATGATTTTAAGTTTCTGAGAAGAAAATAGGTCCCATTCAAAGGACCCAGAATCAGAATAACATTTGCCTTCCTAGCAGCACTGGAAGTTAGAAAACAATGGAACAATGTCTTCAAAAATCTTCATTGTATCCTCAACTCCATGTCTAGCTAAATGGTAGTATTAGAATAAAACAAGGATATTTTCAGATATGCAAAGACTAAAAACTATTATCTTCCTTAAGCTTTTTTCCAAGATGTATTTCTGAAGAAGTGCCACAATGTGAGGGCGTAAACAAAGAAGGGAGGCAGGAGATGTACGAGTTAGGTCATTCAACATAGGAGAGAGCCAAAAGATGATGATGTTGAGGAATTCCAGGAGATGTTGCCATAAAAAAAAGTACATGGAACATATAGATGACTTGAGTATTTGATCATTCTGAGAAATGGTCAGTCTAGATATATGGATTTAATTGACCAAAGAAATAGCTAAAATAATTGGAAATTGCAGAGGTGACCAAGATGGTGACATAGGCTTCTGAGCTCCCCTCCTCCTACAGACACATTGAATGTATAACTGCACACAAAGCAATTCCTAATGAATGATCCAGAAACTAGCTGAACAGCTCCTACACATTGGGCAAATGACAGAACACCCACCCACATCAAAATGCCTAGCAAAGGCTGAGACACTTGACAGAACCCCCTGCCACAGGGCCACACAATCAGGAGCAGACCCCAAACGACCAGCTTTTCCCTGAGGTGCAAAGGGTTTGGACCTCAAATCTAGCATCTGGATTTTGCCAACATTTGTGATACTTTTCCCAACTTCTAAGACTCTCTAAATACCCATTTCTGAAAGCCAATGGGGATTGTGTCTATGAGACCTTTAAGAATATAGCAAAACAAAACCCAGTTATTCACAAATGCATTGAGCACTCACCTCCCACCCCCATCCAGTGATTAGAGCAGAGGAAACAGGCCAAACCTCCCACATATTCTACTTGAGGATGAGGTTTCTAACTTCAGCACACATCTAGTGGCTGGCTGCAATCCTCCCCAGAGACGGAAACAGCAAACACCTTTCCTGCCCTCTCTCTTCAGCCCACTCCAACAACAAAACCAAGTTACTAGTGTCTCCCTGGAAGGAATTTTTACAAATGGGTGGCACTCCAGCTTTTGTGGCTGCCGCCCAAGGGATGGGCCCCCAGATTACCTGGCACTTAGAGCCAATGGGGCTTGTATTCCTCAGCCCCCCAATACTGTATCAAATGAAGCAGTTCTTAACAGGTGCAGGAGTATTCCCTCCTCCCCACAGCTATATCTGGGCCCAGCAGAGAGGAAGCAGGCAAAAACACCCATCTCCCAGTGTTTCCCTAGAAGGGGCTTAACTACATAATTGCCCAGCTGCTACCTGAGGGTCCAGTTTATAATCAGCCTGCATCTACGTGCTGACTGCCATTCTCATTTTTGGGACACTGACAGGTTTTGGCACACCCTCAACTCCTGAAACCACTGACAGGTTTTGGCACACCCTCAACTCCTGAAACCACTGACAGGTTTTGGCACACCCTCAACTCCTGAAACCACTGACAGGTTTTGGCACACCCTCAACTCCTGAAGCCACTAGAAACAAGGAAGGTGGCTTGGACACTCTCAGAGGCTTGAGAGACAACTAGAAACTTGGCTGGATTGATCAAAGTGATTCACTTTTATAATAAGAATAGTCTATCAAGACTAGGAGAGGTGGCTGTTTTATCTCATGTTTAGAGATCACCAAAGAGAATCAAAGAAAATGAAGAAACAGGAATATGGTCCAAAATCAAAACAAAACAAAACAAAAAAACAAAACCACAAGAAAAATTTCCAGAAACAGATCTTAATGAAATGAACATAAGTTATTTACCAGATAGAATGTTCAAAATAACAATTGTAAAGATGTTTGCTAAGACCAGGAGAACAATGCATGAACAAAGTGAGAATGTCAACAAAGAAAATAGTAAAAAGTACAAAATAGAAAACATATAGCTGAAGAATACAATAACTGAACTGAAAAAAAAAATCATTAGAGTTTAACAGCCAACTAAATCAAGTAGAAGAAAGGATCAGCAAACTTCACGGGGCACTGGAATTTATCCAATCAAAGGAGTAAAAAGGAAAAAAAAGAAAGAAAAAGAGGATAGCTTAAGGGACATATGAGACATAAGCAGATCATTATATGCATTATAGGGGTTCCAGAAGGAGATGAGAGAAAGGGGCAAAAAGCGTATTTAAAGAAATAATAACTGAAAACTTCCCTAACCTGGGGTAAGAAAGAGACATCCAGATCCAGGAAGTCCAGATCTCCAAATATAGATAATCCAAAGAGATCCAGACTGAGACAGCATTATTATTAAATTGTCAAATGCTATAGACAAGGAGGGAATCTTAAAAGCAGCAAGAGAAAACAACTTGTTATGTACAAGGGAACTCTCATAAGACTATTAGATTTTTCAACAGAAGCTTTCAGGTCAGAAGGGAGTGGCATGATATATTCAAAGTGCCTGAAATAAAAAAACTACCTGGCAAAGTTGTCTTTCAGAATTGAAGGAAAGAGAAAGAATTTCCCAAACAAAAGCTACATCAACCTTACAAGAAGAGATAGAGTTTTTAAAGCTGAAACTAAACAATGCTAAATTAATGAGAGGAAAACATGAAAATATATAACTCACTGGGTTAAAGTAAATATATAGTAAAATTCAGAATATCCTAGTGTTGTAATCTGGTGGGTAAGTTACATAACTAATACAAAGATGAAAAAAGTATCAAAAGTAACTATACCACAATAACTTGATAATGGATGCATAATGTAAAAAGATTTAAATTGTGTCATCAAAAGCAAAATGTGAAGAGAGTGCAAAAATATAGAGCTTTTGTATGCATTTGAAATTATTATCAGCTTAAAACAGACTGTTTAAGTAGAAGATGTTTTATGTAAGCCTTGTGATAACACAAAGTTATAACCTATAGTAGATACATAAAAGATAGAGAGAAAGAAATAAATGCAAAAGACTACAGAAAATCATCAAATCACAAAGGAAGAGAGCAAGAGAAAAAAATAGGAACAAAAGAATTACAAAACAGCCAGAAACAGTGAACAAAATAGCAATAGTAAGTCCATACCTATTAACAATTACTTTAAATGTATATGGATTAAATTATCTAATTACTTTAAATGTATATGGATTAGTTAAACATAGAGTAGTTTAGTGGACAAAAAACCCAAGACCCAAGTATATGCTGCCTATAAGAGACTCATTTCAACTTTAAGGACACAGACTAAAAATGAAGGGATGGAAAAAGATGTTATGAAAATAGAACCCAAACAAAGCAGGGTTCTATACTTATATCAGACAAAATAGATTTTACGCCAAAGACTAACAAGAGACAAAGAAGATGACTGTATAATGACAAATGTGTCACTTCATCAAGAAAATATAACACTTGTAAATATTTATGCACCCAACATAAGAGCACTTTAATATATAAAGCAAATAACAGATCTGAAGGGAAAAACAGACAGCAATTGGGGGTGGGGCGTAGAGGATTTCAATACCAGACAGAAAATTAATAAGGAAACATTAAACTTAAACTGTATGTTATATCAAGTGGACCTAACAAATATATACAGAACATTGCATCTGAGAAGAATAGGATATACGTTGTTCTCAGGCACATATGGAACATTCTTCAGGATAGATCATATGTTAGGCCACAAAACAAAACAATCTTAATAAATTTTAAAAAACTGAAATCAAAGCAAGCATATTTTCTGACTACAATGGTAGGAAACTAGAAATCAATTATAAGAAAAGAAAACTGGAAATTCACAAATATGTGGAGATTAAACAACATGCCACCACTGCCAATGGGGCAAAGAAGAAATCAAGAATAATAATAAAAATATTTAGAGAAATAAAAATGGAAATACAACATACCAAAATTTATGGGATTCAGAAAAAGCAATTTGAAGAGGAAAGTTTATAGAGATACATGCCTATGTTAAGGAAAAAGATGTCAACTATCCTAACTTTACAGCTCAAAGAACTACAAAAAAGAACAAATTAAGCCCAAAGTTAGTAGGAGAAGGGAAATAACAAAATTCAGAGCAGAAATAAATGAAAAGGGACCAGAAAAACAAATAGGAAAAAAAAATCAATGAAACTAAGAACTGTTTTTTTAAAAGATAAAATTGACAAACTTTTAGCTAGAATAAGAGAAAAGACTCAAAGTCAGAAATGAAACAAGAGACATTACAACTGATACCACAGAAATATGAAGAATCATAAGTGACTACTATAACAATTATACTCCAACAAATTGGATAAGGTATACATACAAAAAAAGAGAAATGTCTAAAAATATACAACTTACCAAGCCTGAGTCATAGATAATTTGAATAGACCAGTTACTACAACAAAATTGAAATAGTAATCAAAAACCTTCCAACAAAGAAAGGCCCAGGACCAGATGATCTTCCTGGTGAATTCTATCAAATATTTAAAGGAAAATTAATGTTAATCCTTCTCAAACTCTTCCAATAAGCTGAAGAGGAGGGGACACTCTCAAACTCATTATCCTGACACTAAAGCCAGAGAAGGACACACAAGAAAAGAAAATTATAGACCAATATCCTTGATGAACATAGATGCAAAAATCCTCAACAAAATATTGGCAAACCAGGTTCAACAATACATTAAAAGGATCAAACAACATGATCAAGTGGGATTCATTCCAGGGATGCAAAGATGGTTCAACATTCACAAATTAATAAATGTGATACACCAACTTAACACAATGACAGATAAAAATTATATGATTACATAATCTCAATAGATGCAGAAAACATTTGACAAAATTCAACAGTCTTTCATGACAAAAACTCTAAACAAAGTTGGTATAGAGGGAACATACCTCAACATAATAAAGGCCATATATGATACACTAAAACTAATATCATCCTCAACAATAAAATGCTGAAAGCTTTTCCTCTAAATCAGGAACAAGATAAGGATGCCCACTCACTTTACTCAACACAGTACTGAAAGTCTTAGCCACAGCAATCAGACAAGATAAAAGGCATCTAAATCTGAAATAAAAAAGTAAAATTGTCTCTATTTGCAGATGACAGAATACCATATATTGGAAACCCTAAAGATATCACCAAAAAAACTTAGAACCAATAAATTCACCAATGTTGCAGAACATTAATGTTTTTATACACTAACAATGAACTATCAGAAGGAGAAATTAAGAAAACATTTACAACAGCATATAAAATAAAATATTTAGGAATAGTCCTGGCTGGTGTGGCTTAGTAGTTGAGCGTCAACCCATAAATCAGGAGGTCACAGTTCGATTCCGATCAGGGCACATGCCTGAATTGTGGGCTTGATACTGATAGAGGCCATGCAGGAGGCCGCCAATTGATGTTTCACTCATATTGATGTTTCTCACTCTCTATTTCTTCCTCTCTCTAAAAATCAGTAAAAAATCTTTAAAAAATATTTAGGAATAAATTTATCCAAGGAGGTGAAAGATCTGTACAGTGAAAATTATAAGACATTGATTAAATAAACTGACACAAATAAATGGAAATATATTCCATGTTCATAGATTAGAATAATTAATATTGTCAAAATATTCCTACTACCTAAAGCAATCTATAGATTCAATGCAATTCCTATCAAAATTGGAATGGCATTTTTGAAAAATATAGAACATACAATTCTGAAATTTGTACGGAAGCACAAAATACCCTAAATAAGAAAAGCAATCTTGAGAAAGAAGAACAAAGCTGGAGGCATCACACTTTCTGATTTCAAACTATATTATAAAACTATAGTAACAAAACAGTATGGTATTGGCATAAAAACAGACACATAAATCAATGGAACAGAACAGAAACCTTAGAAATAAACCCACATGTATATGGCCAATTAATTTATGACAAAGAAATCAAGAATATAAAAAAGGAGAGAGGATATTCTCTTCAAAAAATGGTGTTGGGAAAATTGGACAGATACATGCAAAAGAATGAAACTGGACCACTATCTTACATTACAATAAACAACTCAACATGGATTAAAAAACATAAAACTCCTAGAAGAAAACGTAGGCTCCTTAACATTGGTCTTGATGATGATTTTTGGATTTGATGCCAAAAGCAAAGACAGCAAATAAAAAGTGGGGCTACATCAAACAAAAATTTCTGCACAGCAAGGAAACCATCAACAAAATGAAAAGGCATCCTACAGAATGGGAGAAAATATCTGCAAACCATGTACCCAGTAATGGATTATCCAAAACATATAAGAAATTCATACAACTCAGTAACAAAAAAGCAAATAAACAAATTAAAAAATGGACAAATCACCTGAATAGACATTTTTTTCTAAAGAAGACATACAGATGGCCAACAGGTACATACAAAGGTGCTCAGCATCAGTAATCACCAGAGAAATGCAAATCAAAATCACAATGAGATATCACCTCACACCTGTTAGGTTGTCTATTAACAAAAAGAGTTGACAAATGCTGGTGAGGATGTGGAGTAAAATGAACCCTTGTATATTGCTTATGGGATGAAATTGGTACCCTCAGGCGGGTCCGGCTGCTCCTTGCGCCTGCCACTGGAGTCCTCCAGTTCTTTCAGCTCATCCGGGGGGGATGGGGGGGAGAAGGGGGGACGGCAGGTGCATGGTGTGGCCAGACCCACCCTCAGCCCCCCAGCCCCCCAGGGCTGGCCTGAGGCACAGGCAAGCCTCGGATGGCGGCTGCCCAGCCGCCCAGGGCTGCCCGAGGCTCAGGTAACCAGGGCTGGCAGAGGCTTGCGCTGCTGGCAGTGGCAGCAGCAGAGGTGTGATAGGGGCATTGCCTTCCCCTGATCACTGAATCGCCTCCCACCCCTGAGGGCTCCTGGACTGTGAGCGGGGGCAGACCAGGCTGAGGGACCCCCACTCCAGTGCATGAATTTTCATGCACCGGGCCTCTAGTTTGTATTATAATGTTCATAGCAGCATTATTCAGTGGCCACAATATAGAAACAACTTAAGTGTCTATTGCTGGATGAATGGATAAAAAAAATGTGATGTATGTATATAATGGAATATTATGCAGCCTTAA